GACGATAGCCAATGGACACCGATTTTCTTGGCATCGAGTTGCGGGCATGAAAAAGTAGCCAAGCTACTTCTTAGTCGGTGCGACGACGTATCTTGGGCCAACAAAGCCGGGATGGTGCCACTTTACTCAGCTTCAGCTGCCGTGAACAGCAAGCTTGCTGAGCTGCTTCTTAGTGACTCTCGTAATGATGGTTCCCTACGAGCCTTCGCAGGATGGACGCTACTCCACGAGGCGTCGTATAACGGACGCGTTGGGGTGATTGAACTGCTTCTTGCTGAGGGAGTAGATGTAGGGTTGACTGACGACCGTGGGTGGACGCCTCTACACGCTGCAGCTCTGAGCGGGCATACAGAAGTTGCACAATTGCTGCTTCAGAGCCCTAGGTGCAGTACCCATGTACAAGATAACAGTGGTCGAACACCAGTATTTTATGCATCAGCTCGCGGGCATTACGAATTGATCCAAACACTAACCACTCAGAATCGACTGGACCTTCAAATCACGGATCAGTATGGATCAACCCCATTATCTGCAGCTTGTCGCAATGGACATGAAGAAGCCGTCAAATACCTGCTCTCAGTCGATGAGGGGTCATTTGAGTGTCGAGATGGACTAGGGCGAAGCTCGATGTGGTGGGCACGAAAAAGTGGGAGCACCCAAGTCATCGAACTTGTCTTGCAACATGCATTGAAGCTCAAAACTCATGTTCCGGAGAATAACGAGCTTGGCGCACAAGGGGCAAATTTCGATTGCGACTCAGCGTGGTGTGATATCTGCATGACTTGTACCTTCCCAGACAAGGAGTCATACTACACCTGTAGTTTGTGCGATGGAGGCGACTTCGTCATCTGCCTGGAATGTAAGGATTCTGGGCTCGAATGCCAAGATGCTTCTCATTGCTGGACTTTTCACGAACCCTACTAGGAGGGAGGAGAGATAGATCTTTTCTAGCTTGATCAATCTAGGAAGATGTGCAGAATGCTTTTCCTCCGACAGTCATTTACGTACACCTCGACGATCTTGAGAGCCAAGTGACTATATTTAGGTAATCAACTATTGGACAACTTCCTCATTCGCCTTTAGCTTTCAGTTCTCGCCCATTTCTGTCTTACTTAGGCTGGTATGAAGGAGTTCCAATCAGAGTAGTACACTCATTCTTGCCGATATTTGTAACAATAGATATTTATATTGACGCTATCTAGCGTTTAAGGTGCTAAGAATGGATTCAACAGTTGAAGGGAGAAGGTGAGAACCTTGAGATGGTATGGAAAGCAGTCGCAGAGAATGGTCTTCAGGACTTGCTTCAGCAACTCGGTACACATTGGGCATCTCTCAGTCAGCGCGGGCCGTTGAAAACTTGCATGGATTAAACTTTAAGTGATAAAATTTGTATGCTTCAATGGTAGACAAAACAATAGTGGCTATTTTGAAGCTCTGCTGATAAGACTACCCATTTTACTCCAGACCGCCATAGGGTTGGTGTACATAACAAAATGCCCACTGTTTGGAATCTCGGCTAGTTCGACGCCAGCACGTGCGATCCGTGAGAGATAGGATAATGTGTTGTAGGATACACCGAAAATGAACATCCTTGAACACGGAAGTGCTTCAAACACCTCCAGTAAGTCTCCTTTGTCGGTATAATGAACCATGGACTCGAAAGTCGGCCCCACTACCTCTGGTCTGACTTTCGAACGGAAACTTGCTGCATAAATCCCGTTCCCGTAGTCCGCTGATCGCCGAGTCCGCTCGATAAAGGAAGCGATGAACATCTCCGTATCGCTTGCCGGGAAGTCAAAGATTTGTCTGCTCAAGAAGCAGTCCTCTGGAGCAAGATTGCCCTTGATGTTGGTGAAGCTTAGTACCGCGTCTGGGTTGCGTTGTGCGAGCAGCAAACCTGTCAAGCCGCCCATAGAGTGGCCGACAAGGTGGAACCGTGTGATCTTATGAGCATCCAGAACTGCCTCAGCTACGGCTACGAGGAATGGCATGGAGATGGCGTTGTAGTCAGAGCTGGTGGATGCACCGCTGCCAGGAGCATCGTAAGCGAGTAAAGGATGGTCGGAAAGTGGCGCGTGATGGATTGCGTCCGTGAAGTCTTCTTTGGTGCTCCCGAAGCCGTGGAGGAAGAGTATGGGATCAAGTGGCCCGTCACGGCGGACGGTAGAAATTGAAAGATCGACATTATTGATAACGAGGGAGAGATCTTCCCAAACCAGATGGTTAGACGGTGGCGCTACGCCGCTGACAGGCGGGCCGATTTCTGTCGCTGGCATGATGCGTTCATAATAGGATGCAAGAGTGTTTATTGAGAAATATTTCTGGAGAAAATCTCGTCCTTTATAGGAGAAACCGGACCGAGGTGATGTTGCTGGTTGAAAATTGTAGTTCGTTTCGTGAGTCGCCGTTATGCTCAATACACGGCAGCCAATCCTTCGGTGCCGGCGGTTGCCAGCACCTCCCGGAGTGAGTCCTGAAGACCGGTACTGACACCGAAAAGCTCGGCACCGTGAATCTTTTGCCGTCGGCACCGCTACGCTTTGCCGACCGGCTTCTTCTGAGGTTTGCAGACATTTGTTCGCTGAGTCATACCGTATGCTTTGTATGAAGTGGTACCTGGCCTCCGTCGTGGCCTAGCCATACTGCCCCATCAATCGCGAACATGAAGCCGGCTAAGACTCCAATTGGCTAATCACATACGTGAAGTTCTCGGGCACCTAATTCTGAACACAACCCTCGTGCACTTGTAATACGCAGAGTGAAGCTTGGTGTCATGGAAATAGCTCTTGCATATCTCATTTGGAAGCGAAGTCTTAGCACACGTACTCTCACCTGAGATCAATGACCGAAAGAAGCTGAAACTCGGTCGGAAATGCATAGGCGAAATGACATCAAGTCTAGCCTGGCTGCACCGCCTCCATTCCCTAGGATCTTCTTGGCCATTCAAGTGGGCGACGGGAAGAAGTTGATTGCGGCCAACGCCAGAGTAGGAGTAGACTAGCAGTAGGAATAGGAAGAATTGAGATAGGTAGGGTGTTGAGCGACAAATTATTGTAGCACTCACATGCCTCCTCTGTGCGTTTGAGCTGGCTAGGTTCACGCTTCAGGGTGAGCAGGCTTACTAGGCAATGCCCAGGAAGGCTATGAATGAATGAAGAAAGTTATTGAGCTGGAACGCGGTCTCTCAAAATTTGGGGAGGTAACAGAGCCAATGGCCAGTGAAGTGACTCGTTGAAAGACAAGCAATAGGACATGCGTGAGATGAAAATATCCGAGCGAGGTATTTTTCTGAGCCAGACTGGAAGGGCAGGCGATTCTCAGCATTTGCAAAGCGCCGCCCATTGTTTAGAGCCTCTCACAAACGAACGAGGCACTGAGCATGAAGAGGTAAGTTTCGAGCCAGCTGACGACAACGGACGTTCTGAGGCCCAATGACACTCCTTTGCGAGCAAGCGGGATGCGATGCATTGGGTCCGCTTCCGAATCTGCCGGCCGTGGAACCGAGTGCGGTGCCGGTGTCTGACGCAGCGGAGTAGCAGCCATTGTAGCTAGGAGTGTTTCCGCTGGAGCCCTCCTGGATGAGATGGTTTCAAAGTACTGGGCTGGACTTCAACGCTAAGCCACCAGGCGCGAAGCTTCCTCTTGGGCAATTCATTTTATAGACAACTTCACAGGCGAAAGCGAATTCTCGCGAGTGAGCTAGCTACTTCAACTGTGACCCCCGCCGACTCTTCCGACTGACACAATCGGCAGCATCCGCGCCGTAGTGTATGCATTGCAGTGTGCATACACGGACGGATACAGGGTGAGCCTTTCTCAAACGAAGATCAGGATGCACTGCCATCTGAAGACTGCCGACGTGCTAAAGCTTGTGTTCCCTCGCTTGAGACGACAGCTGACAAGGGGTCCGCTAGGTGTTTCATGCCAATCAAACACTGCCCGAATTTCTTCGGTCCACTGAAAATGAATGAGATTGGCTGCCCGGTGGGTGAGATTTGAGTGAGTCTGGGATGGCAATGGAAGGCCCTCAGTCGAAACTCACTGAGCGACAGACTGTCAGTGCTTCACTTCCTTCACTGGGGATGAGTGAGCCAGCGCCTGAACATCTATCGCGTGCCTAGGGACCCCTTGCCAAGCAGTAATCCGGCGGAGTCATGTCAGGGGTGAACCGCTAAAATAAGAATGACATCACGTTGAAACGGGGCAAAGATATGCAGTGAAGCCCCTTTCTTTCTGTCTTCCCTTCCACACTCTGTTCGTCCGGTTCCCGCGGGTTGAGCAGTGACCTGGTTGACCTGGTTGAACAGACGGGGCGTTCTAACGCGTATCTAGAACCCTGAGATCTAGACTTTGAGCTGCAGCCTGCGTTTGGATGAAATCTGTCATGCAGGACAAACAACATTGAATCGTCACATGAAGCCTCGTTCGAAGTCAATAAAGCTTACGCCATCACCGCCTCCAGACCTTGACGTCTCGCTCGGTCTCGGTCGTTGAGCATCTACAGTAGACAGGATAGACCATAACAGATGCGAAGCTGACCAGCTAGTCTGGCGCGCATTATTCCGCCATCAACCTGTGACTGGACATCGCCAACGCTGCTCCATAGAACAAACACGCTGTTCACTGCAGCCAAGGATGGACCGCGCGGCATCGAGGCAGTGTTGCAAGAAAACCGGAGCTCTCTTAGTTGCTTGGTAAACTCCGCTGATCGCACGGAGCCAAACAGCTTCAATTTCAGCCAAGGGCTCCAAGATTGACTATTCGTACTCGCGGCGTACCGAATTTGAGCCCAGCGGCAGCAACCCGTCGTATTGAATCCTTCTGTTCTGCCCCTTGGCGCACGTCTCGTATTTCGCTGGGCAGCGTCGTTCGGTTCTTGGTTGTGTTAAGATTTGAGTCTGGACCTCCCTTGTGGCTCCTCAAGGTTCATCTCCAGAGATGATCGTTTCCAGTATATTAAATCAATCGTCTTTTCCCATTGATTCCACTTGCCTTCCTGTGTCTTCTCAGTCAACCCCTTGGTCTTTCACAAACGATTCATACCTGCAGCAGCAATATTGAAAGCGCCACTTTTCTTTACAGGCCTCTAATTGTTCTTCATTTCGTCTGTCACTACGATCAAACATCGTTCTTGACTCCTCGAACAAACATACTGATCATCCTATGAACCTCTGATCAACCACCAAAGATCTCGCTCACCACTCGATCGACATCCCCAAACCTATTCAACGAGAAACCACTCAACAACGTCACCATGAAGTACACCATCGCCTTCGGACTCTTCTCCGGCCTCGCCGCCGCCCAGTCGGTCACCACCTCCGCCGCATCCTCCAGCTCAACCGGTTTGGCCAGCCTCATCGCCCAGCTCCCCAGCTGCGCCGTAGGCTGCATCAGCACCGCCGCCAGCACCATTGGCTGCTCCGCGACCGACTTCACCTGCTTGTGCGCCAGCCAGGACAAGCTCATCTCCAGCCTGACGCCCTGCGTGCTCACTGCTGGCTGCTCCACAACAGAGATCGCCGGTATGTTGCACACCCTGTGACTCGTGTCCCGTTCATCGTATAGGTGGCTAACAAAAGTTCTTACAGCGGCTGCAAAAATCGCACCGTCAATCTGCTCCGAAGTTCAGAACAACCCGGCCGCATCCGACCTCGCATCGGCATCGAACCTCGTAACCGGCGTCCTCGGTACCGCGGCCGCAACCGCTAGCAGCAGCGCCGCCACATCTGCCACCGCTACACCCGCCGCCGCTGCACGGCCGACGAACGCTTACTACGGCATGCTCGGCGCCGTCGCTCTCGCTGCTGCTGCTTTGTAAATACTACATGGGCTTTGAAGATACCAAAACTCTAGGGATATGGCGCATTTGGGAGGGGCCACGGCTTTGATTTTATGACATTTTAGAATGGGAAATTGGGCCTCGTGATGGCAAGCGACACGGTGCATTAGATTCAGTTTCTGTCCGGCTCAATGGGGTGAATCTGACAAAGGTCAATGGAACCTTAAATGACGGTTGGGGCCAATTGCGCAGTGGCATTCATTCTTTTCGCGCTCAAACACGTTTATCAAGTACGAAGAATACAGTTATGTTCATCCTGGAACGCTCCCGCATGAGGGAAGAAGTAGTCACAGACCGATTAAATTTTGGTGGTCGTTAGATGGCATTCTGGGCAACCCGCTCAATTTCTGAGATGGCCCAGGATTTAAGAAGGGATAGATATACCCGCGCAAATTCCCCGTGCTGACCCCCCTCATGCACTATCATCCGCCACCCATCGAGCTTTCAGCCTCACGATCAACGTCGTGATGAACCTTACATCCGTGACATCGGGTAGTTCTCTCAACGTTGGACTGTCCCTCTCAGTTTCCGCTGTTAAATATGCCAGGACCCCCTTATTCGCAGAAGCCGTCCGTCCATACTTGCTCTCAAACCAATCCAGGAGCTTGATCGGCGGATTCTTCTTTGGGTCTCGTTCAGACTGCCGCAACTTGTCCATCCACTGATTGGTCGGGAGTCTCTCAAACTGTAGACCAGCTTCAGATAGGGATAGAAGCATATCACGGGTCCAATGGAAGCGCGTCGGGTTAAGGACGTGGTACACCAAGTCGGGATCGGTATCGCGGTCTCTAGGCTGCGGGGCGACGTTGGCATTGACGAGTTCCAAGATGGCAGTTGCAGCGTGGTCGACGGGCAGCCAAGTCATCTCCTATCATCACGTCAGAGTCATGACTTTCTCTAAGCTGTTCAGGTGAGACTCACCTCGTCGAGATTCGGCAAGGCACCAAGCGTGACAGCCGTCTGGATCATCAACGGGATACCTTCAGTCGTGTTCCATTCGCCGACCTTACTGTCACCCACAAGCTGCCCAATCCTCAAGACTCTTGCGGGCGCACCGGCGTTCAGATTCGCATTACGCGTGATATGCTCAGACACCCACTTGGACCGCGCATATCCCGTGCCCTGTGCCCATGCCGGCGTCGGAACCGGTCTCTCCGGCACGGTACCAGGCATAGGCGATCCACCTGACGCGGAGACGGACGAGCAGAAGAAGAATCGTGCGGGATTGGGTGTCTCGACGGACTGGCACAGCTGGATGAGGTTGTGGACTGCCTTGATGTGCTGGTCCTCAAAGCTCTGTACGGGGATGTTGAAGTTGACGGCCCAGGCGCTGTGAATTACGATTGTGAGCCTCGACTTCAGATCGGCGATGCGGGTGGCGTCGAGGCCGAAATTTGGGAGGCTTAGATCACAAGACAACGGCACCACTTTAGATTGTTGGAGGAGGCTTAGAGATATGCCACGCGAGGTAAGTGAGTGTGCGATGCGAGATGCTGCGGCGGTATCGTCGGGTGCGCGGACGGCTGCCCAAACTGAGGATACGGTTGGGAGGGCAGCGAGTTGGCCAAGAAGATGAGCTCCTAAGCCGCCCGTCACTCCAGTGAGGAACTGTGAAGGCGATATCAGTGATGTCTTGAGGTCGCGGTGGAACTAGTGTCACTTACAACGAGGTGCTTGTCAGGTTTCGGAGCTGCACCGGCGATGTGCTGCGTGATGGAGGAGTACTTGGCTACTAAATCCTGCATCTCTTGTAGCTCGTCTTGTGCCGCTTCGACCTGACCGTTTCTCAATGCAACGAGATGTTCAGAGAGTTTTCGGATGTTTCCAGATTCATAGAGAACGTTCTGTCCCAGGTGGCTCTGACGACCACCCAAATCGACTTCCCTCTTGATCAGACTCCACATCTGGATGCAATGGAGACTATCAACGCCGGAAGCGAAGAAGTTTGCGTCGGCAGATGGTAAGTCGATACCCAACTGTTTCTTGAGTTGCTGCAAAAGCCAGATCTCCAGCTCTTGGCCCGCAAGAGACAAGCTACCTCCTTCATCTTCGTTCTCATACCTGTCATAGGCGATCCGTATCTCTTTTCCGAATTGCTGATAGAACGGCGCCCGAATGAAGGTCCCTTTGTCAGTGTGGGGGTACTGTGTCTCCGGTGGGAGCGCAATGATGAGCTCTCGAGGTATGCGCGAGAAGGACTCGGCTTTCGCATTCGCAGCTTCAACTGCCGGCCAGATCGCCTCAACAAACTCCGCATCAGATAGGCTCGCGGCATTGTCCGCTTTGACGATCAGAGCACCGGGATAACTTCTCTGCTCGCCAAAGACTATAGCCTCTTTGACAATCTCCTCTTGGCGAATTCTCCCTTCGATGGGAATAGGGAGCACCTTTTCGCCATTGATCAGAGTGAATCTGTCGTCGAGTCTGCTGACATACTTCCACCAGTCCGGCTGAGTGGCATGTTTCACGAAGAGATCACGCGTGCGGAATGAGTTTGGTGGCGAATCTGAGTTCGATGTCGACTTCGAGGGGATGCCGTCGAGGCAGACACACTCGTAGATCCCAGGCGAGACCTCATCCATGAGAACGTAGGGCTTTGCGGAGGGGAGAGGACGCAGGTAATTCCAGGCTTTATCGCCTGGCGGACGAACGGAGTTCATCAACCTGCCGACCTCAGTTCTTTACTTCGTTAGTGCGAGTGCCTACAAGGTTGAAGAAACTAGGGTGGGCAAGGGTTGCTCTTACGATCCATAGTTTCCGACGAGATAGACCCCATTATTGACCAGACGATCGCCAAGGTCATCTGGACAGCTACTTCCCCCGAAGAGAACAAGTTTCACACTTGCCAAAGCCTGGATACCCTCGTCTGTTTCAGCTAGCAATTTCACGACATAGGGAACCACGTGGAAGATTTCAGGCTTGACGTAATTGATCATCTGGATCAGATTCTGTCTCGTTAGAGGCAGATTGTAGTTACCATAGTAGATGGGCTTCTTCGAGTAGATTGAGCGAAATGTCTCGTAAAATCCGTGGCTATGAAACAAGGGAGAGACAATGAAGGCCCTCATATTCATATGAACGGAAAAGGCCCCAATGCAGCTCTTGTGAGTTAGGTAGATCGGCTTCGGAAGGCCTGTCGAACCGGAGGAGTGGATGATGGCGGCAATTTTCCTCGATTCTCGCTCTGGGTCGTAGGTCCTGGAAAACACGGGGGCATCTCTGCCGTAGTAGTCTGAGTGAGCCAGCAGTGGCAAAATATCGAGGTCGCGTTGTTGCTGAACTTCGGCTAGAACAGGATGGAAAGTTGACGTGGTGAGCATGGCATTGCAGTCCGCCAACTCACAAAGGCGGGCGATTCCTGGGCTTTGAAGTCTCGTTGAGACAAGAAACACTGCATAGCCTAGCCGACTAAGAGCCATAATCGTGATGATGACATGCAAACCAGAGTGAGCAAGGATTCCTATCACGGGGGCCTTCTCAGAATTTGAGTCCTCATCAAGTTACAAGTCAGTGGAAGCTTGGCTGAAATAGTGAAGAAATAGCATGGCTTACAACGGAGGATAGACCCAGCTGCTGTAGCCTCTGCACAGCGGCGTCGACATACCGGTCCACGGCGCGAGCGCTGTGCTCCTCGAAGTCCAGAAAGCCCTCATTAGGGTACCCAAGTAAGGGCGCATCACCGAGTTCGAGTGCTCGTCTCTTGATGAGCTCGTCGAGGGTGAAGAAAGGACGATTTTGAGCGGAGACCTTGAGCTGGGTCACTGTCGTCGTCTGGGTTGCCATTATGAAGAAGCCGAACAGAGGTGCGTGTATTAGAAATAGGATGGAGTCGTACGGGCTTGGAGTCCATTCGGTGATGAGAGAGAAAGTCTCGTCTTGACGTGGAACCAACTTCACTTATGTACTGACGGTCATCTCGCACCGCCGGCTCCGGTCCCCTGCGATCTGGTCGGCGTTGAGCGTATCCGCGCGACAATTCCGTTCCGCCTCCGTTCCGGGCCGCTGATGCAAGTTAATCAGGTTTCCGGATGCGGGGTCCGGGTGCTCCGAAGCGTCTATAACCGGTGGTGGTCTACGGGGGATCAGTTACCACCAATGAGGTGTGAATACGAGGCTAGTATCTCAGTGTGTGAGGCTTGCGGCTGTGACTGTTTCGTACTTCTGCGCCTGTGCAGTGTTGGCTTTAGACGGAACCTTTCAATTTCTCGATGAAGAGAGACCGAGAAGCCCGCAATCGCTGCGTCTCAATGTACCTTGAGCAGGTATAGGTATCAGTAGGTAGTCATTAGAGTACATGTCGTGGCGGATCTTCGGCTCATGGGCTAGCACTAAATGAATGCCCCAAATGCTAAACTATAGATTTATTTTCTTAGGTAATCTATCACCAGAAACTGGTCTGTATCGTGCTTCGCGTAGGGGCTAGGTGCGTGTGTTGCCTCGCGTACTTGGTGTGGGTTGTGTGCGATTTTCATGAGAATCCCTGCTTCAGAATTGCACTCTCGTCATACCTTGAGAATTATCTGAGTGGTGGGATTCTCCCACGGCCATGCTTGTAAGCACTTTTATGCGCAAGACCGCGCATGCCCCCAACCCCGGTTATAGACGGACTTCTGGCAGCTACTGACGGTAATACAAGCAAATGATGTTCATGCTCATTGGTTGCAATTGACTTGTACCGAGCCATCACACAGGCGTCCGGGGCCTTCAGTCGGTCGCCATGACGAAAACCATAGCCCAGATTCTCATCGATTCGAACGCCAAATCCTAGTCACCTTCTAGTCACCCCCTAGAATCCATTTACGAGTTTCTGATGTATCAAATACGCGAGTGACGAATTTGAGCATGCAACCCATGGCTTATAGTCAGTTAGTGTAAGTACCTACTCTGTAATCTAACCCGCAGAGCGACAGAAACGGACTGGGTTACAAAGAACACGAGATTCTTAAAGCAACCCATTTGTGTGTCTTTTCATGTTTGTTCGGAAGTTCTTCTCAGTCATGCTTCAGTTCTTCTAGCAGTCCAATAATAGGGGAAGCACTGTTTGCGAGCCCAGCGAATCCATGACTTACCTTAAAATACTACATGAACTGTAAGCGTTAACGCTGCCCCGGCCTCTAGGCATGTGTGCTAAAGCCAGTCATCCGGTCCCCACCACTTTGCAACAATTCGTAAAGAAAGATTCGACAAGATCATGAAAACTCTTTCAAGAAGACTCATGGCGATTTAAGGACGTTTGACTCTCTTCCGCCGTTGCTACTTTCTCTATCACCCAATTAAGAAACAGTACCAAAAGACATAGGTAGTGTCCGGAAGATGGTGAGTGAGAACACACTCTTCTAGATTGACGTTGCGCCCAGAGCCTAACTGTAGGCTCGAGCTGGCCACCGGCTGTGAGACCCTATGAGAGCGGTGAAGTTGTTACCGGACTGCAGCCATCAGTGGTAGGATCCATGCAGTTCCCGCTCTCGTCGTAAAATACTGCCGGGAGGTCGAAGTAGCACCGAGGTACCTTTCCTATTCCACCCCCAATCTCCACGCCATCGCCATTTCCATTGAGGGCGCAGTCAATAATGGCAGCGTAGAATGGTACTCGATTCCCAATGCCGTGACTCTCCATCGCATCGTAGATCCTGGGCTCGGCCTCGTACCAGAAAGTGTCAGCCGATTCTCTCATTAGGTAGAAACAGTACTCTTCGCCGCTTCTCAGTTCCATCCACTGACGGCCTATGTCGGTTCCACATCCTTCTCGGGTTGCGGCGTCTTTGTGTCTGTCTGCCACCAGATGTAGTTTCGAAGCCTTCATGGCCTCAGTTGCCACTTTCATCTTGAGGTTATCACTGATGATGTCAACCCATTCTGTGAATTCGCTCGAGTCCTCAGCAAGTAATGGCCAACCGCCGTTCAGAAAAGCAGGGACTTTGCTGAGAAAATCGTCCTTCTCGTTTCCAAGAGAAGGAAGAGCATTGTACTCGTTGTCATCAACTCCACCGCCTGTAGCGACGCGAAGGATGTCTTCAAGGCCTTTCGTGAGGCTTTCAAAGGCATTCCCTAAGGCGACTGCAACATCATTCGCCTCTGTATTCTCTTTCGATTCCGCATCGGCCATCTGAGAAGAGATGCTGCCAATGATAGCTAGTCCTGCAGTCACGAATCCGGCAGGGCCCTGTCCATTGGCGAGAAATCAGTAAAGCTTGAGTGGTGAGATTTGGTAATGCTCGAGAACGTTGCATCTGAACACACCGGTACCGCCGCTCCTGGCAAAGGCATGAGACCGCCTCCCATTGATGCAGCGGCTGCAATCCACTTGAACACACTTGAAGCCTTCGTGTCCGGCGCGTCAAACTCACTGAGCGTCTGCGATATCTTCAAATTCTCCACCAGGGTTTGTCGAGTAATCTCTTCGTTGATCTTGTCAATCTTGCTGTGTAGCCCTATGACGGCTTGGAAGACCCAGTATGAGTTTCTGCCAAAGCCAGTCTTGTTGGTTTCATCATAGTATCTCTCGCAGTCCCAGTCGCTAAAAGGGCTGCATTGACCGCCGATTGTCGAACAGCCGCCGACTCCGGGACGACCACTGCTTCGCATTTTATGTTCAAGCTTGGTGGTCCAGCCTTCGTTTGCCTTACTTTGGGAGAATTCCACGCCTGTATCTTCTGTAGTATTGATGGGATGAGCTTCTGAATGTCGAGTTGAATGAGAGACGCAAGACAGCATTTTTGTGACTCGGTATCGACGACTTACTCAGGCTTATTTCGAGGAAAAAATCGAGAGAAAAGCCCGCGGCGGTTTCTTGCCACAGTCGCTCAACGCCTCCAGCAGTCGAAAGGTCCCATCCGTTACACATTTTCTCTTTATTCCAAATGGGGTCCATCTTCTCCAGAACCGGCGTGGCGCCAGCCCACAGGAATAGTCCTAGCAACACGACAAGGAGTTCCATCTGGGAAAAGGTTGAACTTGAGGCGAAAAAGATGATCAATGAAGAGCGATTCGCCGAAAGTCAGATTTATGCAGAATTTGGTATTTGACTTGACAAAGTTAATTACCAGATACACTGTTGCAGGAAGATAGCAGCGTCTTGACGTATTTATAGCTGATTTGTACTTGTACCAGCATCTCACCGCCCACGTCACGTATCGGTCATTGGAAAAACAAAGCTTCGATTCTCTAGGACTTGCCACTGCCTTTTCTAGCACAAGGAAGTAGACATCAGCCGGATCTTACGGTACACCAGTCGCAACATTTATCTGGTTTCATCTAGGTCATCATATACAGGCTCCCTTATTGTTTGCATTAGTTACAATGACCAAAAAACACGTTCTCAAGATGACGAGAGTATCCATAATCCCCCTTCATCTTACTGAATGATGGGCAGCAGTGCCCTGTAGCAGCATCGTATTCATCTTATTTGTCAGACACAATGTCTTCATTCAGGTGCGGACAATTGCAGGTCAGCAACGTGATACCCGACTATTGTATGACAACGTTAGACAATCGAAGTCTCGACGACCAGCGCCTGACTTATATGAGGTGTAATGTGCCATATACTCACTCAACATTACATCACTAGTGTTACCTTTCATTGGTACATACTTAACTGTCTTGCGGCTATGGACGGGCCAATTCATGCGGCTGTAGATGGACATCGGGACATCGCGAATGTCGGGCGCATCGCTCAACCCTTGACATTCTCGACAGGTAGCTAAAGTAGTTAGGCATTCATAAGCAAATGTTAGGTGCCTATCCCACAGGGAGGCTGCACCCCGGATTTGCCTAAGAACCACGGCGAATAAAATGCCGGATCAATCATCATCGTCGACTATAATAAGCAAAGGCTTTGATTGGTGGGTATTGTGTAGGAGTTCGCCATGCATCTAGTCACTGTCATTGTCTCTACAATCGTGCTTCGCAAGTTTCCGGGCCCGAGGATGCCTTTTCCGGTTTGATCAGAGATCCGAGAGGATGTTATGTGGGTTATTTAAGAGGCAATATCTTGAACAGCTCCGAATAATTATTTTCATCTCTACTCAGCGCATTGAAGCAGCCTCACATCACATCAGATTCAGTAATAATCTCTACAGCCAGTTATGTCTCCAAACCAGCATTTTATGACCACCGATATGGTCAAAGACCATGAAGCAGTCGTCGATCATATTGACCACCAAGAAAGTCCCAAAAAGGGTGGCTTTCAAGCCCATCCTGACAAGTTTGGGTCTGCTGCTAAAGTTGATCCCAAAGAAATTGCTTTGGTTCGAAAATTGGACACCTATCTCATGGTAAGCCGATCGCTCCATTTTCAATGATTGTCCACAATCTCCATGACCAGAGATGGAAATGAAGCTGAATCGAAAATATCCGCCCAGCCCATTTTATGGTTGATGTACTTCTTGAACTTCCTTGACCGAAATGCAATTGTAAACGGCAAGCTCAATAACCTGGACAACGAGCTCAACATGAAAGGATCCGAGTACAACACCTGCGTCAGCGTCTTCTTCGTTGGGTCAGTCTCAAAATCACAAGTGATCTAGACATTGTTTGTACCAGAGCATTGCTGACATATAAAGGCAGTTATATCACGGGACAAGTTCCGTCGAACATGCTGGTGACTCGCGTCAAGCCTGCCTACTACATGTCCGGCTGGATGATGGCATGGGCTATTGTGTCAACTCTCATTTGTATTGTCAAGGACTATCATGGAATGCTTGTGTGCAGGTAAGTCGGACGTCCTTTGTGCCTGATCACAGATCCTGAAGACTGACGATGTCTGTCGGTTGGAAGACTGGTGCTTGGTCTCACTGAAGCACCTTTCTACTCGGGCGCTTGCTACCTCGTGAGCTTGTTCTACACACGGAAAGAGGTTGCAACACGACTCGCTGTATTTTACACAGGCAACTTGCTTGCAAGCTCATTCTCCGGTCTTATTGCCGCTGGCGTCTTTGCTGGTCTAGACGGACGGCATGGCATGGCTGGGTGGAGATGGCTGTTCTTGATTCAAGGTATCGTCACAAGTAAGACTTTGCCTCAAACAATGCATAAGATTACCAGAGCCCAGAGTCTGACAGTATTGCCATACAGTTGGTGTTGCCGTGGTCGCCTTTTTCGTGCTTCCTAATGCCCCGCTCCAGACGCGATGGCTCACTCAAGAAGAACGCGAGTTGGCTCATTCGCGGGTTGCAAAGGACACAACAGAAAAACGACAGGGAACCAGCATTTGGTCCGGCCTCTGGGAAGCCGTCACAGATTATCGCACCTGGGTCTTTGCTCTCATGGGGAATCTTCACCTCTCGGCAAACAACTTCAAGAACTACTTGCCGACAGCTGTCAAGTCACTTGGCTTCAGTACCACAACAACGCTGGTACTCACCTGTCCACCGTATCTCATCGGAGGAGCGACGTCAGTTCTGGTGTCATGGTCCTCAGGAAGGTTCAATGAACGTACCTGGCACATCACAGGTTCCAAGGCAGTCGCGATCGTCGGCTTCGCTGTAGCAACAAGTACGATGAACATCGGCGCACGATACTTCGCTATGGTTCTGTTTGTGGCGGCTACGTATGGAGTGAACAACATTAATGGTAATCGTCACTCGCTCGACCCGGGCATATTGACTTGATGGGCATGAACTAACGCGTTACTCTAGTCGCGTGGACATCAGCAACGGTTGGCCAGACTGACGAAAAGAAAGCTGCCGCAATCGCCATTGTAAATACATTTGGCAATCTGTCTTTTGTCTACACCCCTTATCTATGGCCGGATAGCGACAGCCCCCTCTTTCGTAGAGCCATGGTCGCTAGCATCGCCTTCTCCCTGGGTGTGGTCTTAACAGCATGGGCTATGAAGCTCGTCTTGAAACGCGCCAACAGGAAGATCAGAAGCACCCAAGATGAAGCGATCAATCTCTATGCGTACTAGAATCAACAAGTCCATGCAGGCTTTCGGATACTTGATGTCTTCAGGTCAAAATTTGTATCGGAACATGCGAGAGTGTCTCTAGTACTGCGAATCTAGACCATCAAGTACTAAGTATATACGTGTCGAAGAATAAGGCCTGGCGGTCTTAGGATGGGGCCTGGCGGGTCACTATGTCCAACCAGTGCATGTCCAAACTGGTCCGGGGGGAGTGACTTTGCGGTACCTAGTCGAGCGGAATCTAGTGCTGCATTGTCAACATCTGCGCATTGATTCAAATGATATTTGGGCCATTTCTCATAGCGACACTGTCGTCCATCCTGTACTAGGCAGAAGCGTAATCTCCGTCAGGAAGCTTGATAGTTCCGGTCTCAATTATATCAATCTGGTGGCATCAAAATATCAAGGACAATAACGACATAGCTTCTCCTGTTTGAACCTTTGCAGTAGTGAGGACGGTGAGGCAACCGCAATAGAGGCCACTGTTGCGCATACTGCTTTCCCGAGCCAAAGTTGCATTTAAAAGAGAGTTCACGCTATGGAAAACAAACACGATCCACTTCATGATCAAAACTACCGGATAATCAATGATTGCTAAGCTGATGGGTACGCGAGGAAAATCATGCTCATGTATACATATTTACAGGAAGTTCCATTGATGAAGAATGATGAACGAATGGAAGTATAAAAGAAGGTGGAAGCTGCCGGCCAAGAAGAATAACAGGAAATTAAAAGAATCAATGCTCATGTGGGCGCCTCAAATCCATCTTACTTGCTCGCATGCAATGCCCAGTATTGATCGAGGTTCTTGTAAACGTCGTCAACCTTGCTATACGGGTCAGTAGCGGCCATAGCCTGCACTGCCTCCTCAATGGCCGAGTCTGAGAAGGATCCAGCTCGCGTACGAAGATCAGCCATTACGTACGGCTTTGCTCTCCAGCGCGCTTCCATTGGATCAATGAACTTGGTCTCGTTGTACCCAAACTCTGGAAGAACAGTAACGTTGAAGGCGGCCATCATATCACTGTCCTCATGGATCAGGTTATGGCAGTGGAACATGTAGACGCCGTCCCAGGGGGCGTAGTGGGCCTCAACAAGGACAGACTCGCCTCTGCCCAACCAGACAACATCCTTCAAGCCCTCTGCTTCGTAGGGCATCACACCGCGGTCACCGTCTCTAGCGATGACCTTGAAGTCGACAAGGTGGACGTGGATGGGGTGAGACCAACCATCTGAACTGTTCTCAAGCTCCCAAATCTCGACCTTACCTCTGGGAACATTGGCGAGAACACGGTTCTCTGCATCGGCAAAGCCCACGCCATTGATGCGCCATTCGCCGTTGGTACGATGGAATCGGAAATGGTGATTGATAACGTTGTCAGTTGATGTCGGGAAGGGAACAGTGCGAAGGACCTCTGGAACGGTGGATGTGTCGGGGCTGGATAAGGTCGTACCAACGACGAACTGCATTACCTTGTCGGTATGCAAGTAGTCGTCCTCGACGCCGATGCCGCCAGCCTTGGGGAAGTTCCTGATTTCGAGTCTCTGGCCAGCGTACTGAGCGAAGTCGATGACAATTTCATACCGCTCAGCTGGTGAGACATACTGGACAAGAGTCAGCAAGTTTACGCCTTTACTCAAATACCACGGGTAAAACTTACGAGGTCTGCGACTTGCACCGGCTTCCCCAAGAGTCCATTGTCGGAGCTGATTACCTGGAATGGAAGCTTTCCATTCACTGCATTGGAGTTGACAAGGTATAGCGCAAAAGCACGGGAAACAGCTGCGTTCAAGAAACGGAATCGGTATTTTCGCGGCTCGACATTGAGAAACGGCCAGGGCTGGCCGTTGACGTGAATCAGATCGCCCCAGAGACTGTCAGTCTCACCCTTGGTTGAGAACAGGGTACCGTCGTCGTTGTATTGCTTCGCAGAGAGAACAAGAGGGATGTCGTAGACGCCGTAGCCAGAAGGCAGGTTGAGAGCGTTCTCCGCCTCATCCGTGATCAGATAGGCTCCAGCTTGTCCCATATA